GGTTGAGACTAACCCATGACGCTATCCTACTAACACTTACGTGCTTTCAGTCACCGACAGGAGGAAAGCCAACATTCTGGTCTGGCAACCGTGTGCTTGTGAGGGACTATCGCCCCGGGCACCGAAGATGGACTGTTGAAGTCGTCCTGAAAGGAATCGGTCATGTGATTTACAGCGTCCAGGTGGGATCATTGATATGGAAACGGCTTGACAATCAATTACGGCCGACTGAGTGCCCGATCTCAAAGGCGGGAGAACATTTACTAGATCCCAACCTCCTGCTTGGAACCTTTGATCTCCAAAGACCATTACCTAAAGCCACCATCACCTAGAGCCACCTATAGCCACTGCCAAAGACAGATCCATTGCTGCAACCAAGACGTTGTACCGGTCGTGCTAGAAAACTGGTGGAACCTTTACAACTTGAGCTGCACCGACAATCTTACGTTGAACGGCCAAAAGGAGAAGGTATCAGGTCAGATTCCTGAAGGCAACCACAGAGTGCCCGAAGTGTACTGAGGCTCTCAGCTCCGATAGATGCTGACCAGACCGACAACGCCTCCGCAATATGCACCGCGTCAAAACCTCGTACCAAGGCCAGACCGCGTGCGTCAGCATTGGACCCAGTTCCTCCAATGATTAGCTTGAAGATGTACTTTCGCACTCGCACGCACTCACGCTCTTGCACACGCTTACTTGGAATATAGATGTGTTCCCTTCTATGAGTCTTTTCCTATATTGGGCACTAAAGCGGATCAGCAGCAGATACCACAGATTGGCGAATTAGCAGATATAACAGTTCACCATTAGGCTATCATTGAACGGCCGTCCATTATTGCAATGGCACATGGCAACACCTGGTTAACACCAGGTGTTTCTGGCACTGACATCTCGGTTAACGGTAATTCAATTTTTCGGACCGATTCAAGATGGTAGGTTTCATTGCTTTTGTAATGACGGTCATTAACGTCTTCAGGAAAGAAATGCAAAAACAGAGACCTGGCACACACTGTTGCTCTGACGCGGAGATATCGATACATGGCTACTCCATTTTCCAGGTTGACTCGAAACGCGGGAGGGCTGGTGGGTTTGCTTTATACTCACATGCTGCCCTGTCCATTCCGATTGCACGCTCCGAAACCTTCCCTGCACCATTTTGCGATTTGAATCCACATTGCACCTCTGTGTGAGACCGATTCTCTTCTCGGTACAGTTTAACGTTGCCCTCTATTCCACGGGAAGATAGCCAGCTCCTCATACACAAAGTCAAGCAGCTCTCTTCCAGCAAACACTTCACACATCTCATGCCAGTAGGTGATTTTAGCGCTCCGGTGCACCCCCCTCCGTATTACCCGCATGGAATTTCAGACACTCTGTGGGGGCCTACGTCAGACCGGCTCCTGAATGCGCCAAACAATTTACCCAATCCGGATGCAAGAAACACCCAACTCCCATCGAGCATGTCCAACGGGCTGCTACGAAAATGGTTGCCGGCATCAAATCCGTTGCCGAAACGCGTCTCGCGGTGGTTGGCCACTTCCACCGAAGTATCGTCGCCTCCGAGGAGACCGAATACTCACGCCCTGTCTGAGTAAAGTTGGGCCAATAAGGTTTTCACCGTTGACCTAACTGACGCACAGCGGGGACATGGTGGGATTTTCAAGCTCAGAGCACACACTTTTATATAGCAACGGTTTTTCTCATTTCTGGTAGTAGGTGTGAAATAACCTTCCCCCGAGTGTTGCTCACGCTGCACCTAGTACATATTTCAAAGCAATTTGAGAGACCTTTTTAGTTGCGTTCTGAAGCATCGGCAAGATAACTGCCCAGGGCTGAGAACCTAAAGAGTAGTGGTGCACCCTTGCCTCTTTCGTGCCTTTCACGTAGGTAGAACAAAACCGATCCGGGAAATTCGGGCGAAACCTCCATTTTGTCTATAAATCCGTGAATCCGTGGAAAGCTAGCGTCTTCGGCAGAGCCACCAATTGCGCATAACCTGTGTTAAACCTCGTTACTCGTTGAATACACAGTACACCTGTAGAGCGAACTGTATTGGCTTGGCGGAGCACGACAATAAAGGAAATTGCGGAGCCTTCCGGACGCAGCACTTGCAGCCTGTAACTGGCAGATTCGGGATCCTGATTGGCTGCTGGGTCCACAATTTCGGCCAATCAGAACTCGATTCGATGCTGGATCGGCGAGCGGCTCAATAGTCTGGGAAGTCGTTCGCGGTTAGAATTTCGCCGTTTTAGTGCCTTACTGCGTGCGATCATGAGCACCGTGTGCTAATGTGGTCTTGATGCGGGATTACCCCACGAACTTTCACACGTGACCACGGCACTGCAATCTTAGTTGGTTTTAAGTACATATCAAATAAGTACATGTCCAACTTCACCGCTTCACATTTCATCACTTGTTGTCACTTATTGTGGTAAGCGCCCCGTTTTTTATTTAGACCTCTTATTTGATTCTTCCTGAAACTAATCGGGTATTACTGATCTTATTCCATGCCCTCTTCTTCAAAAGCCAAAACATTCGGTCCCAACCTAATCGGACGCCGTTTAGCTGTTATTCACTCCATCTGATCTGTGCTTTAGACCAGAAGAGAGCTTATCTGGACAAAAATACCCGTGAGCTTACAATTGTTCTACATCAGCGGATTCCCTGGATAAACACCCCCAAATCTCGCTGCCCACAGAAGTACCCACCGCAGCTGAAAGGCCTCAAACGTAGCGCCCGTCACCGGATTGTCGGGGAACCGAAGAATGTCAGTGCAGTAATGGCATGACACTGCCATACACAGCTTGATAACATACCCGCAACCATATGCTATATACTTCTGACGATGCCTTCGCTCATTCTCTCCCTTACCTAACGCTGCGAGCCAATTCTTCGCCTGGCCATAGCAGCCTCCGGGACCCGTTCATTCTCAAACGCTGAGCCTTTCGTTTCGGACATGAATATTTCCCTAAGTGCCATTCCATGCTTCCCACAAAGTCAGTCCTTTACTGCGTAGTTTGCGCTTCGTCTTGTATTTTTCCACCTACTCCCAAGAAACCTTCGTTCCGGGCCTCACAATTCACTACCAACTTGCTGTCCGCAATGCAGCACGAGCTCCTCCGAAGCCGTTCTTGAGTAACCAACATACTCGCATTGTGGGCAGCTTAACCGAAGCTTAAGACGAAGGACTCGACGGATGCCATCCTTTCCGACTTCTAAGAGCACTTGATCAAATCCCACACG